AATAGACAAGTTGACATACTTTAGTATAACATGTTTTCTAAGCATCAGAATATTCTGCTATACATTGGAAAACAATATTTATTAATAAGTTTCTCAGTTAATTTGCTATTATTTTACTAGATCCCTTTTCAGTGATAATTATCATAATGGATTATGACCACAAGTAAAATATTTCTTATTATGAAGAGTAATTACCTCTTAATTCTTATAAATTCTTTTTAATATGTTGACTTAAAAGAAATGTTAAATCAAAATATTAACTTCATATGAACTTTAAAACAGAATTGGCCTTAGCAATATGCTATCTTAGAGTTGGAAGGAAATTTTTTTAAAGTTTCCTTTGAAATAATTTCTTGGTATTTTACTTTTTTCTCTCTGTTTCAAGTTTTAGTGAAATAGTTGCTGCTACACACCATCTTCCCTTCTCCCAACCTATACTTTTCTCCCTTCTCTCCATTGCATTATAACCCTTTTGAGACTCATAAACTTTTTTATGGATCAAGTCAGATATGAATTTAAGAATCCTATGCATCATCTAAGAATAGTAATTAGAATATTTACTAAATGTGGCTGTGTTAAGCATTACAGGTAACATAGAGGAAAATATGAATAGATGTAAAAGGAAATTTAATAGAATAAATACATAACACAGATAAACTGTAGTAATTAGCACATGGAGGATATATTAATGGGATGATATGGAATATTACGAACTAATTAATGCTATGCGCTAACAATACAAGAATTGGGATGATAGAATGATAAACTCAACACTTCTTTTTTTTAATATGACAAGACCATTAAAATAGCTAATAAATTTAAAGGAAACAAAAACAATTTATGATCAAAATAGATATTTCATTCATACAAACTAGGTAATGCAACCAGCAGGACTCAGTCTTATATGATAAGAATATTCCCACACTGGATCTCTAAACCCATCCTTTCAGATTTGACTGGATGAGATCAGGCCCATTACAAAGGTTACCTACAGAGAAAGAAGGGCATGAAAATGTGTATAATCTTTATTCCAGAAAGGAAAACTACAGAAAATCAGCCACACTGACTTCTCTCTGGACTTCGTGATCGTACTCTCACCATGCCAACCCCTTTTTCCATCTTACTGTCTTATTCTATGGAGAGCTTCTTTTCCTAAAGATTCTTACACCTTCTCTCATGTCTCATGGTCCTTCACCTAGTGAAGAAATGCTAAAGGCTGCCCCATGTTGCTTTCTACAATCTTTCATAAAGGTTGACACTGTCTTCTCAAAGGAGAGGCATTCTCTTAGAGAGTAGAAAGTCTGTCATATAAATTTTTCCTTTAAGTACTATGAAGTGTGGGATCCACAGCAATTATTTGTAGATAAGAATCATTAAAACAAAAATGCAATTATTATCTCTTATTTATTAATTCAACTTTCATTGTATTATTATTATATTTTGTGTATATTGTGAGCATTCCTATGTATGTGGAGGTCAGAAGACAATTTGAAAATTCTCTCCCACCACCATATGGGTCCCAGGATATGGATGAAACACAGGTCTCCATGCTCTGGGTGTGTTGCCAAGTCACCTCTTTGTTTCTAATGACTCAGTAATTTATACATGCACACATATTCACACACACATATTTATAAGTGTTGTTTAACTTAATGACTTTTTTCTACATGGCTTTTTTTTTTCATCCATATCCAGTTTCTCTGGAAGAGCATCCAATGCTCTTAACCACTGAGCCTCCTTAGTATATAATCCATTAGCACCCTGTAGTAGTTTGAATGTAACTGACCCCATAATCTCATGGGGCATGGCACTATTAGAAGGTATGGCTTTGTTGGAGGAATTATAGCATGGTAGCGGTAAGCTTTAAGGTCTCATATATGCTCAAGCTACTACTACCCAGTATGTCAGTCCACTTCCTGTTGCCTTCTGATGTACCCGGCACTATGTCTGCCTGTAGGCCACCTTGCTCCCCACCCTGATGAAAATGAACTAAATCTCTGAAACTGTAACCTGTCACCTCAATTAAATGTTTTCTTTTATAAGAGTAGCCAGGGTCATGGTGTCTCTTCACATCAATAGAAACTCTAACTAACACTCACCCATAACGGGCTGGCTCCTCCCACATCAAACATCGATCAAGAAAATGCCTTTTAGATAAGCTCACAGGCCAATTCAATAGTGATAATCTTTCACTTGAGGTTTTTTTCTTCCCTAGTGACTCTTGGATGTATCAAGATGACAATGAAACTAACCAGCACAGACATGAACAATTATAAACATATTCACAGCAATCCATGAGATTCAAGCCTAAATAATTGCCTTGTGTAAGACTTTAAGATAATCCTGAAGCCATTTTTGACAATTCTGAATCCTC